AATTGCTGAGCTGGAGATGTGGCAGACTGCACTAAGCTGGGCTCCCTGCGAAAGCTCTGGGGGAAGACCTATACTGGTGACGTGGTGCGTGTTAATGGTACTTAGTGGGAGTGAGGGCAGAGATTTGGCAGCAGTGACAGGTGATAATAGTAAGAGATACTTGTTGAGTCTCTAGTGCCACTCAAGCATTCTGTAGCTACAAAGATGCCTCAGACACAGTCCCTGCCCTCAGGAGCATACAGTCTAGCAGGAGGGTTAAAACAAGTTACACAAAACCCTCTGCCTCCAGCCTTGCCCCTTTCAACCCTCTCTCCATGTACCCACCACAATGAACTTATTAAAACACAAATATGACAGGATAATGTCTGTGTTTAAACTACTGGAGAGTAAAAGCCCAGCTTCCTAGCTGGGTCCACATGACCCCCAAGACTGGCTCCACCCCACCAGCCTACCCCTGGCCCCTCCCATTCATGCCCCTTCCCTCCTGTCCCCAAACGCACCAGCTGGTTGGCACCTCACACCTCTGCAGTATTTGGGCAGCACTGACCTCCCTCTTATTTACCTGGTGGATGCCCGCGCTGCCCTGGAGACCAGCTCAAGGGTGAGACAATCTCTGTCCTCCTTGCTCTTACTCACATGGGACCCCCGCACTGCTGGTTCCTCTCTCATTTAATACCATATAATCGTATCATTTATATAAAAATATAAAATGCCAATACCCTTCACAGCTCCTGAGGGGAAAGTTTTGCAGGCATCGCATCTCCATGCTCCATCCAGTGGCTCCACGGGGGATATTCTGAGTTTTTTCCACAGCCAGAGAGAACAACCAGGGGGATCAACCCTAGGCGCTGGCTGTGCTGCCTTTGCTTTAATAATGAAAAATCCTCTTCTGCTTTAACATGAGAAGTAGCTGGTAGTCATATAGTAGTCACCTCTCCTTCTTTGTACTGGCTCCTAGGAAACTCAGATCTAAATCTAAATCTCTAAAATTAAATCTGCAGCCCCTTCTTACATAAAGTACTTTGGCATTAACTGTACCCCTGGCTACATCTTATTCGCTGCCACCATCCCAAATGGCAGCTCTCCTCTCTGATGTGATTGAGGAGATGTGGTGACAGTGACTATGATGTTTGGAGGCAGATGATGGAGCTGGACAGGCAAGTTGTGAGATGCCAAGAACCTACCCAGAGGGCAGATCAGTGCTGAATCACCAGTTAAGCTGGTTTTAATTAGAATTTTAACCATCCCCATCCCCCTCCAACCTTGTAATACAAACCTCAGCACAGAGGCCAAGATGGAGGAGAACTTCATTTATACCAGGCTAGATGGCAAGAAGCCTTGTACACTGGAAAAATAACAGCCTGTTAGTTAAAATTATTACTAGAACTGTTGCATTTAATGGTACATGGGAGGAGAATTACAGAAGATGCCACCTAAGTGATGAAAATGGGCTTGCATCATATTGCCCTCTGATCTATGGCCAAATGTCCATGACCATGCAGTCTCTCCTCCCCTCTCACCACATCACCCTGGGCAATGACCAGGCTCCTGCATCCGCTGAGGACTTAGAAGGCCATCCCAACCATTCTTCAGTCTTGGATTGGTCTCAGCTCTCGTCCTGGCCTTGACTCCTGAGTAGCTGGTAGGAAAATCCCAGCAGGCCCCAGTGTCTGGTGACCAGAAACAGGACACTCCATACTCCTACCCTGGTTTTGTTTCTCCAGGGTGTCCCCAAGGGGCCTCTCTCTACTAACAAAGGCCCTTCGAATGTCCCTGGTATTGTGGTCCCTTTCTAGCCCCTTACTTAGCAACCTGGTTCAAGCCACTTATTTCTCTATGCCCCTCTCCTCAGAGGTCTCTTGGCCACAGGGCAGAAAAGAGAAATATCTTTCTAGGGGAGTGGGGAGAAGGTTGGCCAAGGGCTGGGCAGGTCCTCACTTATGAAGCATCAGGTAGGCCCTGACAGCCAAGCTGGGCCTTGGGAGGAAAGTGTGCCTGGCAGATCTCGGGCTCCTGGGGACAAGGAGTGGGCAGGGGTTCTCTGTAGCCTTCTAAAGCCATCTTCCTTGGCAGAGCTGACCCTGCCCCAAGCCTGGTCCTGGCCCCCTTCATTCCTCTGTATTCCCTGATTCGCACCTGTGACCACCACACACACTTTGCATGCTGCCTGTGCTGCTCCCTCTTCTGGGAATGTCCTCTCCTTTTCCTGTGGCATCTCCTCTTTGTTCTTTAAAGTCAGTCTATAAACTCTATCCATCTGAGAGCCTTTCTTGAAGCTCCCACTCTGGGCTGGGTGTCCCTGTCTGAGCCTCAGATGGCACATGTAAAGTGAAAACTAATTTATAACCACCTTCTTGAGGGAGCACTGTGCTTTGTCTCACTTCCCAGACTGTGCCCCATGTCTGGCAAAGCCTCTTGGTACATGTGGGGCTTAACATAGCCTGCAGAATTAGTTGATGAATGAATGATTGAAAGATGCTAAATAATGAATGAATTATCCATGAAATTCATTCATTCTCAGTAATAATAAAATAAATTTAATATAGAACAAGATAATATTTTTCATTTATTTTGATTATTCTGGGGATTTCTCCTAGGTTTAGATACGGAAGTAAGCAAAGACTGGAACCAGGGTGGTAATTTTGGCACTATTTGAAATAGTGAAAAGTTGGAAAGAATCTAATGAAAAATCAATGTGGAGCTGGTTAAATAGATAATGGAACATTCATGCCATGGACTAGAGTGTAGCCATTGAAAGAACAAGCGAATCCTCATACATTATGGTGAGAATGTAAAATGGTGTAGCCATTGTGGAAAAGTTTGGTAATTCCTCAAAATGTTAAACACAGAGTTTCATATGACCCAGCAATTCTACTTCTAGGTGTCTACCCAAGAGAATGAAAACATATGTCTCCACAAACACTGTGAACGTTCATTATTCACAATAGCCAAAAAGTAGAAACAATCCAAAGTCCACCAACTGATGAATGGATAAACAAAACATGGTCTAGCCATACAATGGAATATTACTTGGCTATGAAAAGGAGGTATTGATAAATACTGCAATAAGGATGAACTTGAAAACATGCTAAGTGAAAGAAGTCAGTCACAAAGAGCCACATACTATATGATTCCACCATAATGTCCAAAACAGACAAATCTATATAGAGTAGAAAGCAGATTAGTGGCTGCCTGGGCTGGAGGGGTTGGGGAAGAATAGGAATGACTGCCAGTAGGTATGGAGATCCTTTTGGGGTGAATAAATGCTCTAAAATTGATTGTGGTGATGGCTGCACAACTCTGTGAATATACTAAAAACAAGGAAGATCTGTATTTTAAAACGTTGAGTGTAAAAATCATGTTTCAGAGTAGTAGGTATAACACCCTCCTCTATTTATAAGAAATATATATACAGACAGCGAGTGCAATTACTATAAACATAAAGCAGAAGGTCTGAAATGGTACACAACAGGCCATTCACAGGGGTTACCTCTAGATGGTCAGCTTTGTGGATGGGGAACTTTCATGTTCTATATGCTTTCAGCATTTGCCTTTTTACTACAAATACAACCTGCTTTTGACAGTCTGGAAAATGAGAAAGGTGAAAGCATCTGAGGGCCCCACTGAAGGCTGGTGAATCAGACCCTAGAGCCCCCTGGTATCCACATGGGAGGAAAGGGGGTCCTAGGCGGCCATGATGGGGATTGAGGGATGGCTACATAGGTTCTGGAATGTCAGAGCTGTTTCTGAGAGGTATTTTCAGAGGGAGAGCAGGACTTTGGAGCCACAGCCTTTTTTACCTCTGATCCAGGCAGGCCCAAAAGCCTGTCCTGGGACAGAATTGTTTATGTACTGCCTAGACAGAAGATTTACACCCAGTGAACCTAGGGTCCAAAATGCAAAAGCTACAGCAAGAACACCACAGTAAGGCCTCCCTTCCCCCAGCCCTCCTCCCCAAAGCAACCAGAGACCTCTGACTCACTTAGATAGGTGCACATTATACATACTGCTCATTTTAGTCTTAGAGACCGGTTCATAAGTGTAACAGAGAGCCACTTCCTTCACTGTAGCTTTGCAGTACCTGTGATGGGGTCCCCACAGTAGGGGCAGCAATGCTGTACTAATCAGCCCCAATGAAAACACACATTTAGATTGCTTCTGAGCTTTTGCTTTCACAGGTCTGTAATGTTGGCCAAACCGCTGGGATCAGGTATCTTTTGGAATTCCAACTTAAATATACAAATTAAATAAATATACATTCAGTGCATATTCCATAAGAAACACCCTAAGAGGATCTAAGGCAGTACCCCATAATCAAACACATTAATATTTCCACTGCAAACATGTATACCAAGTGGAATTTTAAAAGATTATAAATGTCAGGTTTTGGTACCAAATGAGTTTGTGCCAATTTAATGAAAAAACTTCCAGTTCTCAGAACTTTTTGGGTGTCAGAATTGCAGATGAGGCTTTGTGGAGCTATACAGAAATGCTGTAGTAGAAAACTTTGGACACACAAAATTTTGTAAGTTTACTAGTCTGTCCATAGGATAATATTTCTAGAAGTGGAGATTCTGGGTCATAGGCTACATTCATTTGTGGTTTTCATAAATTTCGCTAGAATAATGACCACTGTTACTCCTTGTCTGTGAACTGCGGTCCTTTATACGGCAGTGAAAATTCTTGCTCCCTCCCTCTCTGCACAAAGCTAGAGTTAGTGTCTGACCCCTGGGAGAGGCAGCCAGGGGAGCTGAGGGAGTAAAAACTTTGCTATCAGAGACAGCAGGGCATTTCCCTTCCACGGGTATGATCCTGAGCAAGTTACCTGTACCTCTCTTGAGCGTCCATTTCCTCTCTGTAGAGATGATCTGCCTCCACAACAGTGCCTTCCCCACTTCCCAACCTGTGCTCTTCTTTCCTGCCCACCCCCAGCCCCAGGGCCTGGGCTTTGCCCTCTCCCCAAAGGAAGAAGAGTCCAGGCCAGCAGAAAGAAAGGTCCACAGGCTTTTTAATAGTGTGATGGCTACTTCCCTTCCAAGACCCGATCTGATCATGACAGCGGCTTCCAGGGTGTTGGGGAGGCGATGGACAGATGCAGGGTGGGCAGAGGCCATGCAGTGACTGGGAAGGCATGGGGGAGGACATTACATTCTGATTGGCATGTAAACATTCTTCAGGGGCTTCCGGGGGTGGGGGAGGGGGAGGGCAACTTCCTGCCCCCCCCCTCACCTCATACCCACCAGGGCTAGTCCCTGGAGCTGAGAAGACTGAGCAAGCCAGGCCTCTTCAAGGAGCTGGGAATGGGGGAAGCCCACGTGCCTGGGGCATGGCCTCTCTCCTGCAGCCCCTTTGTGCACAGTGCAACTGGGGTGGGAAGGCGTGTTCTGGAGTGAGCAGACCAACACCTGAGCTGGTGACACAGGCTGGCCTGATGGGGAAGTACTGGAGGGGTGAGGTTATGGTGTGACACTCTCTTGCAGAGAAGGGACTCAGGACTGGAAGGACTGAGTGGAGAGGAAGAAGCTGAAGCTGGGGGTGGGGGTGGGTGGGGACACTGGGAGGTGTGGTTTCCTCTGCCCGGATCCTTCCTGGGGAGAGGAGCAGTCACTCCCCTAGCTCCCTCTGGCACTCACCCCTACCCCTCCTCCCCATGCCTTGGTGACATTCAGTGATGCAGAGGCCTGAGGTCAGCTGGGAGCCCTAGGGAGGTCTGGAATCCCCAGGGCAGACAGGGTTTTGCATCTCTGCCCTAGAAGTTGGAGGGTGGGATGAGCCTGGGGCTCTCTCAGGCCATCCCTTTTTCCTCCCAACACTGAACCAGGAAGTTGTTGTTCCTGGGTAAGGGGCAAGGCTGGGGGCCCTACATTCACAGTTTGGTTGGTGGCAAGTAGCAGGCCCAGGACCTGGGCACCGGAGGTCATGCCCTGGTCCCCAGCTGGCACGAGCTGATTGTCATTCAGAGAAGCTCTAGGTGGGAGGGAGTGGCCCCTCCTCCACCCCCTCTGCTGGACCCAAAGGGTGGTAGAGGCCTTACAAGGGTCTTGGGTTGACAAAGAGAGCTCTGTCTGGAGAGGTTTCCTGAGTGTTCTGGGAGCCTCTGCATCAGCGTGGTTGGACCTCAAAGGCTTGTCCACCCTGGAGTCCTCCCCTGGGCTGGTCTGCAGAGAAGCCACCACCTTGGGAAGCAGCTGCCCACGCTGCTGACTCTCCATGAAAGGCTTCAGCTGGCATCACCAGGCTGCTCCCAGGGCCAGCTTTCTCATGGGCATCCTTTTAAGCATTGGTGGCTGAATGTTGCCAGACCACTGGGGCACACTGGGCCCTTTCTTCCTCTTCCTTTGATGGCCTTCCCTTGCTCTCTCTGGCCCAGGGAAGAATAGAGGGCCCAAGTCAGGGGACAGAGGCTGTGGGTGCTGAGGGCAGAGGAGGGATACAGGGGCCCTGTCCCAGATAGGCTGGGTTGGCTGTCCCTTCTGCAGCCAATGGACTGCTTGACCCAGATGTAGGCAGCTGAGGCTCATGATGAGGTGGGATGAGCTATGCAACAGCCAGACCCATATCCACTCACAGAGCGGCACAGCCCTCACCTTCTGCAGGGACAGCTCAGCCACATGGTTTGGGGTTAGGACAAGAAGGGACAGGCTGAAGGGTGAGCTGGGGGAGGAGGGAACTTGGACAGACCCATCACACAAGCATACAGCCTGGAGATTAGAAGGGCCTTTCTGCCTTGCTTTGAGTCCAGGGGCCAGCTGTCTGTCGGCCTGTTTCTGCTGTCTCTGCCCACTGGGGGAGATGATGGTCTGATCCAGCCCACTCCCCAAAGCCAAAAGGACAGAGTGACCCAGCCAGAACTGAATCCCTGAATCTCCAAAGAGCCAGCGCAGAGATGATAACCAGCCATTTTCCACCTTCACTGAACTCACGACATAGGGAAGTTGGTTGAAACTGTAGACAGGATTGAGGTTAGATGGCAGGAAGGGATTCCTGATGGTGAGAGGTCCTGAGCACTAGAACACAGGGCCAAGGGATGGGGGGGAAGTTCTTTTCTAAAGCCCCCTCCAACTTCCCACTGGGAAACACTTGCCCAGAAAGGCAGCCCACAAACACTCTATGGTTCCCACTGAGGGCCCAGCCCACATTAAGGGTGGGGGGTCTTTGCATCCTTCCCATCACCTGCCTCTACCTTCCACAGGGTGATCAAGATGGAGCTGACTTTGGAGCAGGTCACACCTGCCCGCTCACACCTGAGTAGACCAACCACCACTAGGCCCCACCTCCCCAACCCCAGGCTGCAGCTGAGAAGAGGCCTTTTGGCCTACCACTGCTCCCAGGAGACCCTGGGCTTGGCCTCTAAGGGGAGGCTGGCGCCTCCACTTCTGGAATTTGACGCTGCCTTTCTGAAAAGGGGGCTTTGGCTGGAAGAGGGTTAGGAGGAGGGCAAGGCGCCTCAGAAGGTGTAAGCAGAGGTCCCTGGGGGGCATGGAGAGCAGCAGAGGCCTGGTGGGTGCGCAGGGCGTCCCCATTGGCGGCTTCCTCATCCTTGGTGAAAAGTGGCTGAGCCTTCCCCGGGATAGAGGTTGAGCCTGCCCCCGAGGGTCGGCGGGAGAGGAGGAGGAGGGGCTGAGGGGACAGAGGGGAGGCGGGCGCTCCCCCCCGCGGCGCGGCGCCCGCCATTGGCCAGGCCTGCGGGCGGCGCGGCGTGTGCTGGCGCGCGTGCTCGCGGGTGCAGGCGGGAAGCTGGGGCCGCGGGTGGCGCGCATCAGGCGCGTAAGGCTGTGCTGGGAGCTGTTCCAGTGTGGCCGGCTGCGGGTCGGGGGCCGGGGTAAGGGTTGGGGGCCGCAGAGAGCCGCGCAAGTCATTATCTGGCCCCGGCCCGGCCCTCCGCGACCCCCGCCCGGCCTTTGGTTGCTGCGCGCTGAGTCTGGAGTTTCCCTCTGGGTCCTTTCTTGGGGCCCCCTGGGGTTGGGGTGCCGTCTGGCTGGGCCCGGGACTGCGGGGCGCCCCGCGGTGAGGGGCCCCCCGCCCGGGCCTGGTGAGAGGGGGAGGGGCTCTCTTTGCGGGACAGGGACTGGCTCCTGGGGGACGCAGGGAGGCCCGCACTGCGCGGGGCAGGGGTCCTGGGGCCTACTTGGGCTCCCCCTGGGCCCGGACCCGGGCCGCGGCCCGGGGACTGTTTGGAGCGATGGTCAGCAGCAGCGGCCGACCCTGGGGGCTTCTGCAGCTGGAGCCTGCGGGCGAGATGGAGGGCGGAAGGCAAGAGAAAAGAAGAGGCCAAAGAGAGGAGAGACATTTTCAGAATCGCCTGGGCACCGAGCCTTAGCATCCTGCATCCTCAGAGCTGGATGAGACTGAGGAGACCATGGCTCAGATGGGTCAGTTGAGGCCTAGTGCTGCATTCTCCCAAGGCAGGACCTCTGGGGGCCACACACTCCCAGGCTGCCGCAGATGAGCTTACTGCGGGCTTTCTTTGACCACTCTGTTTCATCTTGAAAATTCTCATAGATTTTATACTGTGTAATATACCTATGTTTATATTAATATGAATAATGTTTTCTCAGAATTATTCCAGGCTTTATCCTTTGGCTTCAAATGTCCCATGGCACACAGAGGCTGTGTGTGGACCACAGTAGCCCCCCTCAACCTTTCCCAAGCTTGAACTCCCTGGCACCCCTCCAGATATGCTCACTGTAGCCACTCCTGTGAGCCCAGTGACAAGGCTGGGACCTGAGTCAGAAAAAAGATTTAGTTGGGGAGGTGGTGGACAGGAAGTGTACCTGGGGGTCCTTCCTGAATCTTCAATAGCCCCTGACCTTGGCTCTGGGGAAGTCCCTGCTGGGGGAGGCCTGCGGTCAGTCACCCTCTGCCCACCAGGAGTTGGCAGCAGTTCTCACCTGCTGGTGATGGCTGTGTCAGATGCTGGAGCCGCACCATGGGGTCTGCCAGGAGGCTGCTGGGCCGAGGCAGGTGTGGGCATGCGGATGTTGATGGGGCGGGGAATCCGGCTCCGGGTGGCAGCTGCCCGCCCAGCCTTCCTGGGCGCTGCGGGCTCAGAGGTGGGTGTGTCCTCCTCGGAGCCCGTACCTGAGAGCGTCTCAGAGGCACGGCGCTGCTCCTCACTGGAGGAGGACGAGGCCCCAGAGGCCAGCCGCAACAGCAGGCGGCCCTGCCTCTTCTCCATCACCAGGCGTGCCAGGTCCTGCTGCGGTCGGGCCCTCTTGCCCCACCGCTCTTTGGCCGACAGCGAGCCTGAGGGCTCTGAGCCTGTGTCCTCCTCAGACAGCAAGACAGGGATACGGCTCCTGGGGCGCGGGCCTGGTGTGGCATGGTGGCTGGGGGAGACTATGGCCAGTTTCTCTGGGCCTGACTCCAGTGGGGCTGGCCTGTTGGCAAGGGCTGGGCCACCGGGTAGTGGGTGTGTGACCACCTCCAAGGGGGCACCCCCAGGGGGACCGGACAGGGCACAGCTCTCCAGCCCTGACCGGGTGATGCCATTCAGGGGCACAGAGTTCCCTGCCTCCACAGCCCTCCCATCAGAGGGCACCTCCAGGCCCAGCTCACCCCCAGTGCCCAGCTCCTCAGGCCTCGAGGCTTGTCCACTGGAAGACATGACATTGAGGTGAGTTTTCTCTGCGATGTGCATAAAGGTCCTCTCGACTTTGGTAAAGGGTGAGGAGGTGACTGCCACGCCCCCGGCCCCCGTGGCCACTGCCCCGGCCCCTGGCCCTATCCCAGGCCCAAGGGGCTTGGGCTCAGACTTAAGGACAGAGGACAAAGTACCTGGCTCAGACACGTCCAGCTGGCTGCCCATGGGCTGGGGCCGTTCGTGCTGAGGGGTGAGTACAGCCAGAGTGCCCAGGTCGGGGTCGGGGGCCAGGTCGGCAGTGACGGGCGACTTCTTCATGTCGCCAGGGGAGACGAGCACCAGCGTTTTGGAGCCCTCCTCAGGTTCCAGGTCCCCGTCAGCCATGGAGGCCCGACCCCTGGACTCCTTCTGATCGTCAGCCAGCAGTGTGGATGGGGCGCCCTCTTGGCTGCGGTCAGTGCTTCTCTCACTCCCTTCACTGCTAGAGCCACTGCGTGGCCCCAGCACCTCCCCCAGGACTACCACCTCCTCCTCCTCTTCCTCCTCCTCCTCCTCTTCCTCTTCTTCCTCCTCCTCGCCCTCCTCCTCCTCTTCTTCCTCCTCCTCCTCTTCCTCCTCCTCTTCTTCCTCATCTTCCTCCTCCTCCTCCTCTTCCTCCTTCCCATTAGCTTGAGGCTGAACAGAAGGCAGCGGGGCCTGGGGGGTGGTGAGCAGCATGTGCGAGAAGCCCACCCTCCGGACCCTGTTGAGCAACCGAGCACGTTCGCGGTAATCGGAGAGGTCTTTCTTGAAGTCCTGGTAGGGCAGGCTGAGAGGCACAGCTCGTGGGAGACCATTCATCTCAAATGGGGATGCCACGGAGAATACCTGCAAGGGGCACACACAGGGTCCGCTGAGGCCACCCAGCCTCCTGGGCCGGAGAAGACCTGGACTGCCCCCCAAGCTAGGAGGCCCACATGCCCAGGTGGTCCACCAGATTATGACTCCATAAGGGCAGACGCTGGGTCTGTTTTGTTCATTGCTGTATCCCCAGGATCTACAATGGTCCCTGGCACCTAGTAAGTGCTCAGTAAATCTCTGATGAATGATTGTGTCCATGCTCCAGGCTCCCTGAGGTCCCAGGCCCTGGTCCCGGTGGCTTTTCTGTCTCCCAGTCTCCTAGTACTCCAGCTCCTCGCCTTTCCATGTGCATCCCCAAACCCAAAGCCAAGTCTAGTTCAATGAGGAGAGGAAAATGACAACTACAAGGCATCATAACCACCAGGTAGATCAACCCTCTCTTTTACAGATGAGTAAACCAGGCCCAGAGAGAGGCAGCAAGTGCCTGGGTCAGCCCTCACTGCCTCCTCACAGGACTCAGTTCCTCTACAGCCAGGGAGCTGGTCACCAGGGCCACTAGGACCTATGACGTTCTAACAGACAAGGGCAAAGTCTGGGTTGTCCTCCACCCTGCAAAGTGCACTGGCACTCCAGCCCCCTTCCCTCCTGCTCCTTTCTGGCCTGTCAGCCAGGTATTTTCCAGCCCTGTACAGATGTGTTTTGAGCTTCCAGGAATTCACAGCCAGCCTGACAGTTCTTTTTGCTCAATTAAGTTTTCCCCTTTGAACCTTTATACAGAATCTTTGGCAATGTTATGCGTTGTTCTTGGCTTTCTAGACTCCTGATACAACTCTCATTAACCTTGTTCCTTCCAGACGGAAAGACCTGACCACCTTATCAGACTTCAGGTACTGTGCTTTCTCCAGCTCCACCTTCATCAATCCACACACATCGCAGTTGCCCACAATGCACCGGGCCTCATAGGACTGACATGGCTTTGTTCCAAGTGGGATGATAATGATGATATCAGCACTTGGTTAACCTTTTTGAATACATCAAGTCTCTGTCTTCCTACACACAGCCCATCCAGACCAGAACCTGGAGACATCCCGACATCAACACCTTCAGGTGCCATCCAGACTCTCAGGGTGTCCTGCCAACTATTGCTCTTAAACATCCATGTCTGCTGCCCCAGCCCCATAAGCATAGCCCTGTCCTGTCTGTCTGGTGGTTCTGTAGCCACAAACGTGTTTTCTCCATCCCACACTGCCCATCTAACCTTCCCACAGCCTCTCAAGTGATCTTCCTGAACTTAAATTTGATCCTATCTCTCTCTGCTTCAAACCTGAAGAAACTTACAATGGCCACCACAGTCCTCAGAAAACAGTTCCAGTCCTTGGTTTGGCACATAACAACCCCACTCCTGCCCATGGTCAGCCTCCTACCTCCTGCTCCAGCCTCACTTCTAGCAGCACCCTCTGATGCCTGTCATTCGCTCCAGCCTTGCTGACGCCCAGCCGCTCCCAAATGCCTCATTCATCCACACTGCTGGGTCTTTCCCTAGGCAGCTTCCTCTGCCAGGGGTTCCTCTCACCGCCCCTGCCCCCCTTCATGTGACAAATTCCTGTTCTTCCTCCAGGACCCAGCTCAAATAGCTCCTCTTCCAAAAGCCTTCCTGTCCACCTGCCAAGCAGACTTCACCACTCTCCTTTCTACTTTCCCACACCCTTCCCATACAGAACCTTCCACCCTCCATTCCACATTCAGATGTTTATATGGTTCTCTCTCCTGATAAACACTGAGCCCTTTGAGGGCTTTTTATTTATTCCAAGAAGAAGTCCTTGGATATCTGTTGTCCTGGCTACCATGGTAGAGGCTAAGAATCTGTAAATTCAGTGTTGAACAAGATGCATATGGTCCTTGTTCTCATGGAATATGTGGTTTCTATACTAGGAGACAAAATGGGGATAATACACACTTTACAAAGGCTTTGGTTATAAATAAGGTCATGTAAAGAATGAGTTTGGCCTAGGGCTAGCTCAGTAAATGTTAGCTGCCTCGCACCCCCACTCTCTACATCCTGTCCTATGTACTCTGGTTTGGAGGTCACTGCCTCCCCCCCAACCCCAGGCTCCCAGATGCCACACCTATGGGGGACAGGGGAGTAGGAAAGAGAGGGGCTCTTCCAGCTAAGGTCTCTAGCCCAAAGGCTGGTGGAGGGGAAGGCAAGAATCCCCAAGGCCCGGGATCTGCCCAAGGCTGTGACTTCTTCCACCCCAACTGCTATAATCTTCTTCATAATTAGACCATCCATGAAGACTTGATGGGAGTGGATGGCAGTGAGGCAAGAAGGGTAGCACCAGACCCTGGATGGGACCCCAGCACACCCTGTTTGAGCTAGGCAGGGAACTTTTTTAGAGCTTTGTCCCCTTCACATCCAGGCTGGAAGTCCCCAGCAATTGTTTTCTATTTCTACACTGCACTCACTCTTCATTTATGCACTCATTCACTGAACAAACATTAAGTGCTGGTTCTGCGCCAGGCCTTGTGCTAGGGCCCTTTGACATGATTAGTTACGGTAAGGCTAGAGAACATGACTACACAGAGGCGGGGGTTCCGGCAGCTCCTGGGTGAATGGGGAACACAGGGACGGTGCTGGTCCTCAGAGCCTGGGACAGGCAGACACAGAGCTCAGAGCATGTCTGCCTCTGTTCTGGCTCATAACTCGACCACCTAGTACCAGACACATCCCATCCAGCGGAAACTTCCATTTTCCCATCCCACTGCTAACATTTCAGGCATCCGTGGCAGAACCGCCCTTTCCTCGGACCAAGCTATGGATACCTCTAAGCCCCATCCACAGGATGGAGCCTCTGCTCACAGTGCTCAGGTTTGATGATCAGAGCGGACCCCTCTCTCCTTCCATTGCAAAGCCTCCCTCTTCTATTACACGGAAGGGAAGAGGAATGAAAACTAAAGGTCAGACATGGATGATAGCATCAGACTGGAAAACAGAGGCCTGGAGAGAGCCACTGACATGCCCTGGTCACAGAGCACATCAACCAGAGTGGCCTAAACGCAGAACTCCTTCCATTGCCTCACTGGCGCCCCACCCTCCCATGAGGGGAAACTGGGGACCCTCTGGCCTTTAGCAAGAAGGGCTGTGAACCTTTGAGTGGGAACAGCTTTGTCCTAAGGATCACTGCCAAGCCCACGTTGGCCTGGGCATGCTGGGCTTTCTGTTTCAAGCCCCTCCACACACACCCCTGCCCCCACTCTGGCTCTGTGCTGGAGAGGGCCAGGCCTGGGCTCAGATTCCTCCATTCCTGAACGATTGGAAGTCCGTCTTCACCCTCTCCCTTTTTTCCTGGATGCCTGAGCCCAGTAAGTATCATCCAGTTGTCCACCAGTCCTGTGCTCATTCACTCAGCCAGCGATCACCAGACAGCCGCTGTGTGCTTGGCCCCCTAGCCTGAGGACACCGTGGGAGGGGGACAGCAGTGACACCCTTCCATTACAGCTCAGAGAGAAGCAACAGCGCCAACTGCCAATGAGGGGAAGTCGGGGCCTGGGGATGCTCCCATCTTCCTGCCCCCTTCCCAGGGCAGCAACCCTTTGATTCCATTTTGCTTATTTTGGTTCTCCAGACTGGCTTGGCAGAACCTCTGGGTGATTTTTAAAAACAAAGAGCCCTGAGTCCTACCTCCCAGATTCATTAGGAAAGAGGTGAGGCCCAGAAATCTGTTTTAAACTCCCTGGTGATTCTGATGAAGTGTGGCAAAAGGTGGATGTGGTGGGAGAGAACTGTGGGGGTAGGGACGCAAGCCACTGGAGTTGAGCCATTCAGAGAGAATGAAAGTCCCAGCCCTCTGCTTGCCTCCACTGAGCCCAGCTTCACCAGCTTCAGAGCCCAGCCCAAGTCCCTCGTGACGTAAATGAGCAGGAAAGTGAGAGGGGTAGATGGCCAAGACTCTGATCTTCCCCTGCCACCAGCAAAACGGCTCTCCTCAACCTCGACTTCTCTGACAGAGACACCAGGGGCAGGTTAATCCACATTCCCCCATCCCCACATAGTCCACAGAGCAGCTTTTCTGCCTGAATGCAGGCCAAACCAGACACTGCACACCACACATCAGCCCACAGTCCCAAGGTCAAAGCGGGACTGCCAAGCAACAAAAGCAGGAGGGTGAGCCCTGAAAACCCACCCCACTGGGCAGGGGGTCCCCACCCTCTCATGCCTTTATGCATTTCATCTCATCTCCCCACCCCTTATGCCTCTCACAGTGACCCCCTTCCTCTTACCTCAGCAGCCACCCATGCTCACCTCCCATCTCCCCTCCTCCCCAGTGGAACTCCCCCATTGCCATAATTGCTGAGCCTGAAAACTGGAGATGAGCAGTTGACAGGGTAGGTGGCTCCTCCACCCACCACAGCCTTTCCCAGATCTGTCACCTGTCCGTCTAGGTCTCCACTCTCAAACATCTACCAGGTCACAAGCCCCCCCTCTGCTCCTTCACCCCCATGCAGGAGTGCCACCATCCCCAGGCACAGTGACCTGGGATGGCCATCTGGGTGGAAAGGACAAGATAACCTGGGAGGGTGACTGCCTCCCCTAGGCCACAGATCCTCACACACTCGACCCCAGGCCTCAGTGTCCCCAACCCATCCCTCCTGCCCCAGGCAAGGGAGCTGACAGCCTAGGGGCATTCTAAATGTTGGTCCTCAAGAAGTGGAGCTATAGTTTGCCCTTCTGCCCCCACACTTGCTGTAGGCCCCAAAGAGAAAAGTGTCTTCCTCTTTTGGCCTAGTGGAGAAGGCCTGCAGAAGTGGATGGGGGACAGAGAGAAGGAGACAGAGGGAGCCTCAGAAGTCTCTGCAGTCCTCTTTGCGTCCCAGCCCTCACTGAGGTGGTCCTTCCTCAACCCACATTCTATCCTTGAACCCCGGTCCCAGGCTCCGCACAATTCACACTCCCTCAACAGACCATTCTTCCCCCAGACCAGGGCTACCTCAGGCCCATCACAGAGTACTGGTCAGGGAAGCCTGCA